GTTCAGCAGTAACGCGTTTGTGCACATGCGCAGTTCTGCACTTGCGCGCATACCATGGAGGCATAAAAAAATTCACTGGCATGCAGACGGGTGCCGGATGCGACGGGATACCAGCGCTTCCGCAATCAGACGCCCGCCCATGCAGCGCTTTTTCCAGAAAATACTGCACTTTCCCAGGTATCTTTTTACTCCACATCTTTGGCGGGGTGATACAGGTTGCCGACGGGTATGGTCAGAGGTCATTTCGGGGGGATCGCAGTTCCCCCGGGTGAGGTATGGGGGGGTGGGGCATATGACAAAGCCCCACCCCATGCTTCCGGCCCTCATTCAGCCAGAAGGAGGCAGGAGAAGAGGGAGGGTAAGTTGCTTCCTCCCTGCCTCTCCCCACCCCTGCCTGCCTGGGGTCAGGGAGGGCCTTCGCGGGGCTTCCTTGCACTCCCGCCGGCCTTGCAGGTCCACCGCCGGGCCCCTCATGGGGCTCGGCAGTGGAGCTGCAAGGCCGGCAGCAGTGGCCGGGACTGTTGGGGGCGGGGTGTGTGGCCTTATGACACACTTCCGGTGATGTCAGGGGGTGTGGCATATGCTAATAAGTTATGCTAATGAGTTCCCCTAGCTCTTTTTCTATGAAACGACCCCTGGGTGTGGGACACCTGCCAGATGTTCCCGTGTGACCGCGCCCGTAAAATCCGCCCGGCATTCGTCCCTATCGCGTGGCTAATTCTGCGTGTGACCGAGACCTAAGTTAAACTACCTTTTAAACTACCTAAGAAGCTGGAACTTCAGCTTCTCTCCACCTCTTCCTTCCTTGTCTGCCCCTCCTGTACCTGCTGCATTTCAGATGTGTACACAGCAACTGGGAAACAGAAATAGGCAGAAGGGCAGGATTGTGTGGCTCAAAGCACTAGTTGGCAGGGGCAAAAACCACAGCAGCTGCATCTCCCAGTCGGTTGAGAGGTCTGGTGAGGGAAAAAGCATGCTGCACAGCTTGCTCTGGGCCTTCCATTATTCCCAATAATAATAATATTATTCCCAATAATTCCCCCCCCCAGTTGAACTGAAAGAGATGATAACCAGAAACCGAGCGTGTCATTCTTTTGATCTGTTTTTTAAAAATATTTCCACTATTTTGCATGCTAATTTAACAAGCCACCCATATATATACAACTATGATATGTAATTCCATTTCATCATCTGACGAAGAGTGCATGCACACAAAAGCTCACATCTTGAATAAAAATTTGTTGGTCTTAAAGGTGCCATTGGACTCTAACTTTGCTGTATTCCCAATAGCAGCAGCCAAGGCTGAGAGAGACTGCTTGCAAGGGTGTAGACTTTCCAATTTCCCGGGGGGGGGGGGCTGGGGCTGGGACAGAGGCATTGCTTTGCTAGGAGCAAGGGTGGCTCCCGGGGAAGGCTGAGCACCTTCCTGAAAATTTCGCTGGGAGCTGCCGCCCCGCCGCCCCCACGAAGATTACGCCTATGGCTTGCTGTACTTCAGAGGCCTGAATGTGCTGAGATACCAAATCTCATCCCCTAAGAGTCAAGGGGGCATGAGCAAAAGGGGATGGGAGCCAGGTTGTTACCAAGACATGTACATAAAAAGAAAAAGAGAGAGAGAGAGAGAAACAAAACAGTTGGCAAAGGATAGCAGTAGACATAGAGAAAGGGGGAGGGAGAGAGGGAGGGAGCTTCAGCATTAAAAGGCAGGGTGAAGGATGGAATTAATTCAGGCCCTCAAAATACAGCACCAAGGCCCATTTGTCAACTTGTCCTTCCCTGTCAGGGAGGACAGAAACTTTATCTGATGGCATCAGATGCATTTCATTAGTATGTTGAGGCAGATGAGAGGGAGACAGCAAAGGGTGCGAAATCTGTCCACTGGTCTGTTTTGCTCCCTAACACCAATAAAAGATGGTTTAGATTGGCAGAGGGGAGCTTCATCTATTCAAGTTCCCCACATAAAATATTCATGGAGCTTTATCACTTTGAAAGACTGAGGAATTTCCACTGATTCCAGCAGACTTCCTATGCTCACTTAGGGATGCCCATTCAAGCCGGGGGAATTGCAGCCCAAGAGGCAGGCGGCTGTTATGTACTACAAGA